TAGGGGAGGAGATGTGGTGGTTGGAGGGCTGGCCCTGCCCCCAATGGGGGGCGATCAGGGGCGGGGCTGGCCAGGGGGAAGGGCTGCAGACGGTTGGCCAGCTGGCCCTGCCCCCTGGTCAAACTCCTGGTCGAATGGACAATTTGCATATTAGCCTTTTATTATATAGGATAGTTTCACTTAAAGTCGTAAAACCTAACGAGGATGATAAGTGAGGACTTACTATACATCCTTTTGCTGCCTGAAGCATCTAAGAATTTTCATGTCCTAAACTGAGATCCTGGTATTTCCAATAAACCTGCTCCAACCACATCTCAGATGGTGGCAACTCCAAACTTTCAGATGCTCAGGCCAAAACTTTTGAATCAATTTTGACTTCTCTTTTTCTCTCCCATTCCACTCTCTTCTTCCTGGAAATCATGCTGGCTGTACCTTCAAATATATCCAGAATCTGACTATTTCTCCCCATGCTGTCTTCTCAGACACGGTCTCTAGTTTGATAAATGTAATAACCTTCTAACTAGTCTCTGCTTCCACTCTAAAGTACTGTCAGTCTATTCCCAATACAGCAGCATGAATGTTAAAATGTAAGTCAAGCCCAGCTGGTGTGGCTTAGTGGTTGAGTGTCGACCTAGGAACCAGGAGGTCATGGTTCGATTCCCGGTCAGGGCACATGCTCAGGTTGTGGACTTGATCCCCAGTGTGGTGCATGTGCAGGAGGCAGCGATCAATGATTATCTCTCATTATTGATGTTTCTATCTCTTTCTCCCTCTTCCTTCCTCTCTGAAATCAATAAAAATATATTTTTTAAAAATGTAAGTGAAGCCACATCCCTCTTCTACTCAAAACTCACAAAGGGCTCCACTTCTCATTCAAAGTTAAAGTCAAAGTCCTCACAGTGGTCCATAACTTGTTCCCCACCACTCCAATCTCTCTAACCCTATTTCCTGCCAATTTCTGCCTCATGCACTCTACTGCTCTTAACTCCTCGCTGTTTCTGCAACATTGCCAGACACTGTCTGCCTCAGGGCCTCTGCACTGTCCTCCCCTCTGCCTGGCACTCTTATTCCAGTTAGTCACGTGGTTTGCTTCCTGATTTCTTTCAGGTCTTTACTCAAATAATACCTTCTCAAGAAGACCTTCCATGATAACCCTACTTATAACTGGAACAGCCCATCACCAACCTCCACCACTCTCTATCCCCCTTTTCTTATCAATTTTTTTTTTTCTGTAGCACCTAACACCATTTTTGTTAGTCCAGAAAAGCCAGGTTATTCTCTGATAAGTAACCCCAAGGCTCAATGGCCTACAATTAAATTTAATTTCTCACTCATGCAAATCCTACTGAAGGACTAGTTGCTTTTAGACAGGTATATTCCAGCAGTGATCCAGGGATCAGGATGTTTTTATTTTGTAGTCTGAAACATGCATTCCATTGGCTGCAGCAGGGGAATAGAGCTGGAGGGTCATAAACCAGTTCCTAAATGCTCTGGACTGGAAATGACACATGTCATTACTGCTCACAGCCCCCTGGCCAAAGCTCACCACTAGGCCTCATCCAACTGTAAGGGGGCCAGGATGTCTGGGAAGCTTTGGTGCCAAGCCATCTGACATTTTGTATGTTATTTATTTAATGTCTGTCTCTTTCCACTCAATAGTCCCATAATGGCAGGGATTTGTGCTAGTTTTGTTTACTGCTGTATCCCCTATGCCTAGTATTTTAATTGGTCAGAACCTTTGTGGAATGAATAAATGAGTGGGTGAATAAATGTCAGCTCCCTGGGCTGGTGAGCCCAATGATTTTGCTCCCAGTAGCCTTGGCCCTGGGCCTGGTGAGACCAACCCAACAAATTAGCATCTGTGCCTCCCATCCCCTACATGGGGAAGAATCATATAGTTAGATCTGGACATTCTAGTTTAAAAGCTGACAAGGCCACACACATGGAGTGCAACCAAACCACATGACCCTATTAAAGACCCCATAAAGGTTACTTCCTTGAGATTCTCGTGCTAAAGTAGTAGCTGCTGGCAGCTTCTATGGATGCAGTTGTTTCTAACATTTATGACAGCACAGGAAAGCAATACTGCATTACCCTTGAGAAGCTCCTCCTACAGTCAACAGGGCAGGATAGGATTTGTCTCCCCTCTTCTCCTTCATCTCTATGAAGTGAAGCCTGTGTATGGTGAGGGGGCTGGGAGGGGGGTATTTGTTAGCAAAGGAGACCAAAAAGAGAACTCTCCTAAATACTGAGTTGGACTGTAGGTGACTGGATGAAAAAAATATTTTAAAAAGTTTTCTTTCTTTTTTTTTTTAAATGTTTTTCAATATCTAGAGCTGAACTGTTTCATATAATAGCCTCTACCACATGTGGCTATTGAGCACTTCAGATGTGGCTTGTCTGTGTTGAGATGTGCTGTACATATAAGGTACACACCCGATTTTGAAGACTTAGTACAAAAAAATGTATATCTTATCAATAACTTCTTTATATTGATTATATGTTAAGGTGATACTATTTTTGATACAGTGGGTTAAATACATTATATTAAAATTAATTTCATGTTAAAAAATAAAATTAATTTCATGTCTATTTATACTTCTTAATGGGTCTACTAGAAAATTTTAAATTATATGTGTGGCTTGTGTTATATTTCTTTTGGAAGTGCTACCATAGACTCTGTATATTAATGACAGGGGATCGTAAGATTTCACACCCTTACAGACATGTCAAGTATAAGTCAGGGTTCATACAAGCTTAGAACATGACTTGGTTTGGTAGCTAGATTTAATTTTCCACATTTGTCAACCTAGTATCTTTAAGAAGATAAAATTCATATTTAATCCTACCTTCAAGAATAAACTTTCTAGAGATTGAGATGAAAGTAATGCAAGAGTATCTACAGAAGTCCAAGAAAACATAGGCATTTTCAACTTTATTCCCAAAGGAAGGGATTTAATATGAACTTTGTAGACAACGTAAAATACACTCAAGAGAGAGTAAGAGCACCAAGAGGCAAACGGGTTTTTGGAGGGATAAGAGATTCTTTATTGTTCAGCTCTCAAAAATTTTTCTACCTTTGTTTTTCAATCTATTTTTTTTCATGTAGGGCTTGGAAAACAGACACTAGGCTAAAAGGTATCCCTTGCAATGCCAGGGAGGGCCTTATAAGAGCTGCTCTGTAAGGACATGTGGCTTTCGGGCAAGGGTAACAGAAAGGGCCCTTCGTGCTCTCTACCATAGAGTCCACACACCAGCAGCTGAAAGGTCTTCCTTTGCATCGTGCCCGCCAGGGCTGCTTTTAGAGTGCTCTCTGCCTGTGGCCTGCTCTCCAGTGGACCCAGCATTTTGTTGCGGTTAAAAAGCCATTTCCCTTTTCACCACATTTTTTAAAAAATCCTTTCCATAAGACACCCCCACCTGTTACTCCATCAAGTTAACTGATTGCAGGTGCCTGGAAGAAGGGGGCTTGGGAGACAGGATAATGGAGAAAGAAAAAATTGTAGCAGAACACCTTACCTTGTGCTCGGCAGGTGTCCTGTGGACATAGTGGTGAGCTCCCAGGCCTTGCAAGGTGCCCAAGCCTCCTTTTGCCGTATTTACCCAGGAATTCTCTTCTATGGTGGGGACCAGGCTCCCTGCGACCAAGGTAAGGCCTGAAGTGTTGATCGTCAGCGTCCGCTCCACAGATCTGAAGTAGTTCAGAATTCCTAAGCAGATGCGCTGAAACAGAGAACAGCCTCAGGACTTGGGCCCCTCGCTGGCCACGCCTAGAGCAAAACTTCGAATGGGGCCCTGGAGGTGGGCAGGTCCATCCTACTGCTGAAAAAGGAACACGCCACCCCCAGAAAGGCCCGATTTCATGGACAAATCAGAACAAAGAACAAAGTGTAAAAATGTGTTGCTCCTGGAACAGAAGGAAAGCCCCACTTCCAGACAACCAAGCATTTCAGACGCCTGAAACCAGCGTCCACAGACCTGCAGCTCCCTGATTCGCAGGTGGCGCAGGTACAGAAAGGACAGGTAGGCCCCTCTCCTTAGGACAGGATCCTCATCACTAGGCCCAGTCCCATCATCCAGGCCCAGCAGGAGCAGGGCCCTTGCGTAGTTGTACCTGTAGCAGGCAAGAAATATGGAATAAATGCCTTTCATCTCAAAGTGGTCTGGAAAATTCATATACACCAAGTTGAAGTCACTTTACTTAACTTAAGGGAGTTTCATAAAAGCCACTCTTTAAAAATTACACCAGCCGAACTGGTTTGGCTCAGTGGATAGAGCGTCGGCCTGCGGATTGAAGGGTCCCAGGTTTGATTCCGGTCAAGGGCATGTACCTTGGTTGCGGGCACATCCCCAGTAGGGAGTGTGCAGGAGGCAGCTGATCGATGTTTCTCTCTCATCGATGTTTCTAACTCTCTATCCCTCTCCCTTCTTCTCTGTAAAAATTCAATAAAATATATTTTAAAAAATAAATAAATAATAAAAATAAAAATTGCACTGAAGATAAAATAATTACTTTATATGTATAAATATAAAAAGACATTTCTCTTAGCAATCCCTCTTGTTAAAAGTGAAACACTAATTTAGCAGTTTACCTGCTTTCACAGTCTTGTTTTTATTTCAGTTTCAAATATTTCAGAGTTAACATATAACCTCCACATCGGTCAGTCACTCCATGTTCCCGCAGTGTTTAACCCATCTCCGTGAGTCAACAGTGAAATGGTTTAGCTTTACCCGGTCTCTGTTTCCTGCTTGACAGGCTCCCCGGCCCATTGATGGAGACTTATTTGCGCTGGGCGATTTTCATTTTGTTCCATGGAAAGGTCATCTTTCTTCATGTTTTCATTCTGTCAAAAAAGTGGCATTAGTTGGATTACAAAAACACTTGCAATATTATTAACAAATTCAGAGTTAAGTCATCACGAAATTAAGTCTGATGACCTGAGACACATGTAGATGAAAACTAGAAAAGCATTTTGATCCATTTCAACCTGACATGAAAATCTACTTCTAAAATACATTAGGGAATCACTATTTTAGTATTATTTAGTCTTTGTTTTACAAAACTATTCACAGCTTTTAAATATCAGCCATCCCTAACCCCCTTTTTCATGTAAACCTTCATGGTTATGATGAGTTGATACACTTCTCTAGTAGATGTTTGGAACCTTGAACTTCTAATCTAGACTTGGTCCAGGCTAAGAGACATCAGTGGATTAAACTCCTCTTTCTACTTTTTAGCTAGTGTATGATTTAACCACTTAAAGTCTTCATCCTATTTTTGCATTTGTAAGATGGCATGATAATGGAAAATAAGTTGCTATGAGAAGTAAATGACAGGATGGATAAAAGCTTAGTGCCTGGCACCTTATAGGTGCTCATGGATTCTCTCCTGCCCATGGGTTCCAGTAGTCAGCCAGCCCTGTAGGATCTATCACAGAATTCATGGTGTACTCTTATTTCTTTTTTTTTTTAATAGCATAGGTGGAAATTTATTGAAGAACAGGTACAGACTCCCATGCGGGGAAGGGGAAAAAATCTCACAGCACAGACTCCCACACGGGGAGGGGGAAAGAGTCCCTATACACTTATTTCCACATTCATCTTTCCTGATGTCGAGAAGGATGAGGTCATGCACCCAGGGCCTCTAGGAAAACTGGGAAGAAGGTGATATTGGTGTATGGTCCTGCCCCTGGCCCTCTGAGCAGCCCCTTTCTTAGTGGCCCTCTCTGCCTGTCTCTGGACACAACCCCCATTCCCAGAAGCCGTGATCTTTCATAGTGACACCGATCCCCTTGAGAACATTGAGTGGCAATGGCTGAGGTTGGAAGCCTCCACCCACCCCCCACCCTTTGGTTACTTATATTCTAATTTTGGGTTCTTAAAATTCCAACAATGGTAGAAACTACTGATTGTTCCCCAAGATCCATTGTCTTCTTTTCCCACAGTAATGTAATATCTATCTTGGCACATGGCCACCCAGATAAAGATGACATTTCCAAGCCTCTCTTGCAGCTAGGTGTAGCTATGTGACGAAGTGCTGACCAATGGAATGAACGTGAAAACGCCACATGGCAGCTTCTGGGCATTTCCCTGAAGTGGCAGCTTCCCCACCCCTCGTCTCCATCCTGCTGCTTAGCACATGAATGTGACAGCTGAAGCGTCATCTCAGACCAGGGGTTGATCTTGAGTATGGAAGGTGCATTAGTTGGAACTCCAGGATAGAAGGAGCATGGGTCCCTGAGGACTCCACGGAACAAAGTCATCACACCAGCTCTGTACTTCCTACTCCTGGATGTTAACTTGAGGGAGGGTAAGAAATTTTCATATCCTTTAATCTTCTGTTATTTTGTGCCTAACTATGACCAACAGCCAAAAATAACACAATCCCCAATACTCTAAAGATAAACTACCAGTCTTTATGACAGGCAGTGGGAAGAACATTTGGACAGGGATATTAGCAAGAGCAGGGGAGAGAGAACGCTGTCTAACCGGGTGTCATTAAGTGGCTTCCCACTCTGCCTGTGGGTAGAAGGTCCTGTCTGTTCCGGGTTAGTGTACACGTCAGTGTATTTCTGTGTAAACGTCCCACAACCCTAGGACCGGAAAAGACCTTGGAAGGTGCTGTGGTACACCCCGGTTCCTTAATACAGAAACACAGGATCATTATCCCAAAATAAAGAGAATGTCTGTTGTGGTTTTTTCCTCTGTAGGAAAGTACATACTCCATGAAGGGAGATGAACTTTGACAGTTGCTATTTGACCCAGAATTTGGGGTGAGAGGCGCTCTAGGGAAGCCCTTTGCCTCCCAGCCTACGGCACTCTGGTGTTGCAGTTGGGCATTGCCCAATGTGTGTGGCTCCAGAGGGCCCGCTCAGAGCCGCAGCCTTTCTCTGATGGCACTGTGACATTTTCAGCTGTTCCTAAAATTACCCAGAATTATATAGGAACGAACAGAAAGTGACATAAATTGCAGTGAAAGAACTCGAAGGAAAGACTGAACAAACCACAAAAGTACTGCTGGGCCAGCAGATTGCCAGGAAGAGAGGAAGGGGGCACAACAGGCTAGGGTGAGTAAGGCCAGCATCTTCCAGGAAAGCAGAACCAACCACAGCCCACAGAAGGAAACTGCTTAGGAAAGGCCGAAGTCCATGAGTGTATTCCCCTAAGAGAACTGGACCACAGTGCAGATTGACGGCACGGCTGACCAGAAACCAGAATGTCAACACCACCTGTGCTCTTCCTGTCTTCCTGGGGAGGTAAATCCTTCGACATCTGCTCGATCTCATAACTGGGTATTTGTCAGCATGGTTGAGTTCACATATGTTGACAGTTCTGAGATTGCCACTGATTGCAAATCTCATTTTCTTCTGGGAAATTGACAGTGGTCGTGGAGTAGGAAGAAATAATAAGAGGGAAAGTAATTCTATTCTGTATTCCTCTCCTCAACGTCTCTGCAGCTTACTTGTGTATATCCACAGAATAAAAAGACTAGAAGGACATACACCAACTGTTAACACCGTGGTTATATTTAAGTGATAAAATAATGGGTGATTTTTATTTTCTTTCTTTAACTTTTCTATATTTCACAAATTTACTATGATAAATACATAGCACTATTGTCATTAAAAAATGGGTGTTTGTTTTTAAATGTTCTATTAATTTTGATGAGGGAAACCAGGAAAATGTTGTTTTGTGTTTCCCTGAACTTCTTGCACATTGGAGCTCCTGTAGACAACACCACTTCTGTGAGAGCACATCACTTACCCATGACATCACATTGTCTCTGGAGGTGGAGGGGAGCGTAGCAGAGATGGGGAAATGGCTGTCACCCCTTCCCTCCTTGGTGTGGGCAGTGAAAAAAAGCAAAAGAAGAGGCAAAGGGTGTAGTATTTCCTGCCACTTCACTGCTCCATAAAGTTAAAGAAAAGCACCATTTTAAACCATATCTTTAGAAATACAATGGTCAATAGTAGCACTTAATGTTTGTACACTTGATAAACATTTTAGTAAACATGTGTTTTCTTGGTGAATGACACTGGACACAAGTAACCCGATATAACAGAATTACAGATCTGGAAGGATTCACACAGGGCTAGCTGGGCCATTTCTTCTGGTCAGGACTATAATTAAATTATTTTACTTACCTTTCCCCCTCCCCCCCAAGAATATGCAAAAAGTGCAGTTCATTTGGACCAGAATTCTCTCTTTCTAGTTACACATTATTTTCAATTAACAATTATAAGTAAATTTGATAGTTTTTTTCTTCATCATCCAAACCCAGATCAGATTTTTACGCAAGTCTGGAATTAGAACTGTGATTGAAGAAAAGAGTGGCCAGTCTTTGATGCAAACGGTAAGTAATGCCCAGTTCAAACTGTGATAAAAACATTACAAACATTATTAATGTTTAGATAAACATTGCGTTAAAATGGACGTGGGAAACAGGTTCCCTCATAAGTTGCTGGTTGGGGAACATGGTATACCACATTGACAGGACCTATAAACATTTTGAATGTGCACATTCTGTGAACCAGAAAATCCATTTCTAAATATTTGTTCTAATAAAACACACATTGCACAAGGAGGCAGGTATAAGAAAGTTTACTAGTAGTAGGCAGGGTTTCTAACAAGGGGGAAAATGGCAACAACGTTCCATAGGGAGCCAATATGTGATCTGTAGAATACAGCAAAATATAATGCAGCATTTAAAGAGAACAGGAGAGACAGGTCTCTAAAACATATTGTTGGGTGAAAAAAGCAAGTTACAGAAAGATATCCATAGGGTATGACAAATGGCTAATATAGAAACTGGATTGTAATATATATATTACAGAGAGAGAAAGAGAAAACATCGATGTGAGAGAGACACATTGACTGGTTGCCTCCCACACACTCCCCTGAGTGAACCTGCAACCCAGGTATGTGCCCTTGACTGGGAATCTAACCCATGACCCTTCAGAGCACAGGCTGATGTTCTACCACTGAGCAACACCAGCCAGGGCATACTCTCTCTCTATTCTTTTATAGGGACATATGTATGAATGTAAATGTATTGAAAAGGCTGGGAGCAATAACAATGTTTACCTCTGAGGAAGTGGAATGGGGACCAATATTTGAGTCCCCATTAAAGTTAAAGCATTAACTTTTCAGTGATGTCAATTTTTATATGGAGAAAAATTATTTGACATTTATTTATTACTTCTGTAGTTTAAAATTCAATTTTTTTAAAAAACTACTTGAAGAGAAAAATAGTAACTCTACAGTAGATAAAACTGGCAACCACGTGATCAAGATTAACATCCCCAGAGATATCATGTTGATAGCATCTGCCCTTGATATGATGTGACAAGAAGGGCACTTCACCTCTTGGGGTGTTCTTCCCCCAAACCTATAACCTCAGTGTAACCATGAGAAAAAAACATCAGACAAACTCAAATTAGGGAACGTTCTACAGGTTGCCTAGCCAGTACTCCTAAAGACCACGAAGGTCATGATAAACACGGAAAAACTGAGGAACTGGCTCAGACCTGAGGAGACTGGGGAGATGTGACAACTATGCGCAGTGTGGTACCCTGGATAGGATCCAGGAGCACAAAAAGGACATTGATGGAGAAAACAGTGAATTCCAATAAAAGTCTAGTCTAGTTAACAGTAATGCACCAATGTTGGCTCCATAGGTGTGACAAATGTACCATAGTAATATAAGATGTTAATAATAGGAGAAAGGGGGTAAAGGAATACCTGGGAACTCTTTGTACTATCTTTGCAACTTTTCTGCAAACCTAAAACTATCCTATATATGCAAATTGACCCTAACAGCAGAACGACTGGGAATAACTGGTCACTATGACACACAGTGACCACCAGGGGGCAGACGCTCAATGCAGGAGCTGCCCCCTGGTGGTCAGTGCACTCCCACAGGGGGAGCTCTGCTCAGCCACAAGCCAGGCTGATGGCTGCCAGCACAGCAGTGGTGGCAGGAGCCTCTCCCGCCTCCTCAGCAGCGCAAAGGATGTCTGACTGCAGCTTAGGCCTGCTCCCCGCTGGCAAGTGGACATCCCCCGAGGGCTCCCGGGCTGCCAGAGGGATGTCTGACTGCCAGCTTAGGCCCGATCCCCTGGAGAGCTGGCCTAAGCCAGCAGGTGGACATCCCCCGAGGAGTCCCAGACTGCAAGAGGGCACAGGCTGGGCAGAGGGACACCACACCCTCCCGAGTGCACAAATTTTTGTGCACCGGGCCTCTAGTTCTAAAATAAAACATTTATTTTTATTTTTAAAAAATTCCCTAAACGAAGGTTACTGGTGAACAGTATTCACTGAGAATTGATCAGAAACTGTTCTGAAGTTGCACCACAATTAGTGCTTACCGTCTCCCAAATAGGACATCGAACTATCAAAATGGACAGTCCTATGGGGTTTGCTTTCCTTCATGCAGATGTCCCTTAAGACAGTTATTTTTCATGAGGGATTGGTTTTCACTTGCCAACTTCAGAATCAGGATGCTCACCAGCATATAGATGCTAAAATTCATACTTGACTGCTACAGGCTTGCAAAATAGTAGCAGAGCTTTAAAATTCATACCTCACTCTTTGACCCCTCCCAGTGGCCACCTTTTACTTAACCCTCATCTCCTCTGACTAGCATTCAACATTCAGAGTGGCAGCATGCTACCACCAGTGCTTTCATACTGTGTAGAGTGACTCTACCAAAGCGGAAGAAATACTTGAGGAGGTCACCAAGTAACACCCACAGGAAAGTGTGAAGCAAAAATATTGGTTATTGCCTTAGGATTTCCTTCCTTAAACCCTGTGCTATTTTCTTTTTTAAATATATTTTTATTGATTTCAGAGAGAAAGAGGGAGAGATAGAAACCTCAATGATGAGAGAAAATCATTGATTGGCTGCCTCTTGCACGCCCCCTATGGGGATTGAGCCCACAACCTGAGCATGTGCCCTTGACCGGAATTGAACCCCGGACCTTTTAGTCCCCAGGTCGGCGCTCTATCCACTGAGCCAAACCAGCTCGGGCGCTGTGCTATTTTCTGTTCCTTGCTTGGAGGGCCTTTCTGCAGCCCGTTTGCATGGCTAACTCCTTCATTCATCAAATTTCAGCTCAGATGCCCCTGACTCTGAGAGATCTTGGCCCATCTCTCTACCTGTGGGTGCTCCTCTCTGCCCCATTGCCCTTTCTCCTGTGGATTTCTTCATGGCACCCACAAGCTAGAGATGTAGATTTTCTTCTTTGTTCACTCATTTATTACGTGTTCCATTTCCAGAGCCCAACACAATTCCTGGCACAGAGGTAGCATTATGTAATGATCACTGAATGAATGAATGAGAAACTGGGGGGAAACTTGCATGACACTAGTAAGTACGGTAATTTGTGTGTGTATATGTCTCCCCTCCTGCTCCACTTGTAGGACCTATAGGTATTCTAAGTCTCTTTAGGGCCTAGTTACCATGAACCAACTTGAAACTACAGCGCTCACATTTTTTTTCCTTTGATCAATTCCAAGAGCAACATTTACAAGTCAGAAAATAGCCAGGGGAAGTGGTTTTCTTTCTTTCTCTTTTGTTAAACATTTGTACCACTGCATTCAAAACAGATCTGATGAAAGCAC